TATGTATATATATTCATTCAGGCGTCATATACACAGTATGAACTGCAAATACTGCAATATCCCACACAGTTCTTCTGAGGTAGGTACACACCCCTCAGTTAATGGAAGAAAAATTCACAATGGTCACAGAAGTGGCCTTCTATGAGCCCTGATTTAAATCCTATTGAACATCTGTGGAAGGACCTGAAACATGCCATCTGGAGAAGGCACCCTTCAAACCTGAGACAACTGGAGCAGTCTGCTCATGAGGAGTGGGCCAACATACCTCCTGAGAGGTGCACAAGTCTCATTGACAGTTACAGAAATCGTTTGGTTGCAGTGATTGCCTTAAAAGGTTGTGCAACAAAATATTAAGTTAAGGGTATCATCATTTTTGTCCAGGCCTGTTTCATGAGTTTATTTTTTTTTTAAATAATTCTGTTAAACCATGGTTCAAAGGCAATGTCTGATTTTCATTGCTTAATTTTCATAGAATTTTAATTTATTATTACTTTTGCCAGATTCAAGTTATTTATGTGACCGTTGTGGGTTTTTCTTTCATTAACCGAGGGGTACCAACAATTTTGTCCACGTGTGCATGCAGAAATCAGTATCAAATGATTTTATGCAGTAACTCTGCACACTCCCGTCCACTTGGTGGCGGCAGATACATTTAACGTCCAATAAACAAGGAAGAAGATGAACTCCGGAACCAACCACAGCAGTGGTGTGCGTCAATGCGTCGGACACCAAATAACCAAAGGACAAAGTTGTTTAACTTATATGATGTTGTTGCACAAATTGTCGAATATTTATTTTAAATAACGACAATGTGGGTCGCCAGGAGATTTCTGTCGTTACTCGTCAAAAGAGGTAAGTATTTATAGTGATGTTATCTGACTTATCTCTGCTGCTTGTATAAATCTGACAGCTAGCTAGCTAGCTAGTTTTCATTGCTAGCGTTATTATTTTAACAGTTGGGATAATATGTCTGTAGTTTTATGTGTTTTATCCACTTTTTTGTGTTTTATCCCGCATTTGGGCATGACTTATCTGTTTAAAGGAAACTGAAAGTTATTGACACAGAGCTCCACAGTCACTTGTGTTGAATCCGACATTTTAAAAGTTCAAGTCCATCTAAACGCACTGATTCACATCCACAGCTCAGTTTGCGGGGCCCTCTGGTTTGTTCCGTCGCCCTCAGCACGGTTCCCTCCCCGAGCTAGAGCTGCGGTACCTCCAGTGCACCTGCTGCTGGAGAAGTCGGGTTCCCGTGGCCGGCTTTGAGACCCTGAACGCCACTCTGTCCTCCACGTCTGAGCCCTGCAAGGAGGACGCGACCAGACCGCTGGACGCCTGCTACACCTCCACGCAACGAGACGCCATCCTCCAACTCCTCAACAACGCCACATCGACAGAGCTGGCCTGCGTGAAGCTGCTCAGAGGCCGCAAATCGGTCAACATTGTGGAGTACAGGACTAAAAACGGACCCTTTAAAACGCTGGAGAGTGTGGTGAATGTGCCGCTGCTGAAGCACAAAAGTGCTGTCATAGTCTTTAACTCCATCCTCAACCCGGTTAAGAAGGAGAGGAAAGTGAGGATACAGCTGGCCAAGTTTATCAGGCCAGAGGTGGACAGGTCCTGGCTGGAGGTGAGCTGGTGGTCAAAATACCCATATTTGTCATAGTACAGCAGATTGTAAGTATTGAACTTTGTGGCTCAGTGACTCTCTTTGTCGAAGTGTTACATAGTTTAGGAGGCCCAGATGAGTGCTGCCGAAGTAGTTCAGACACCTAATATGAGAAAGAAATAATTTACATTTTGCTAGGAATAATGTCAATTACAGTGTAAATAAAAAAATATTTATCTCCCTTTGGAAGTTCTCCTCTTTCCTCTCTTCTCAACATTCAATCATGATCATTGAACATGGCTTTTTGATGAAGAATTCACCCCAAAAGATTATTTCATGTCAAAGTGAAAACAGATTTCTGCAAAGTATTGAAAATTAATTAAAAATACAAAATGTAAAATAAGTCATTGCCTGATCTTTGTGCTTAGTGGCTCTTTGTTTGGGAGCCTTGGTTTCATTTCTCTGTACTGGCAATGTGCCTGTACCTGAGAATGAAAGGGACCGTCTGACCAACATTACATCTCAGACGTGTGTGCAATTACACTTTATTATTGTGCTGTTATGTAACTGTAGAACTTGTGGGACACAGATTTTAAAAAGAGATTCAGCAGAGGCAGAGATATCCATAACTGCAGTCTCTAAATATGGCTAAATTTACAGAAATGCTGACTCTTGTTTGCTACAGTGCTACTGTTTTTCCACACACTGTGGCCCCAGTTTGAAATACAGGATAAGACTACTCAGTTTTTTGACAGTGCTACCCATGAACCACAGAACATATTGTACAGCTGTTGGCAGCACTCTGTTTGACATGTAAAAGCAGTGGAGTTTATGGCATGACAGTCTCTTTTTGCTGTTGGATCCTGACCTCTGACTTTGCTGTGATAGTCAGTGTTTAATCTAGTAGCCTTTCAGCTGTGAAACACAATGTTTGAAGATTAAAAAAGGAAGCAGGATGATGCACTATTAGTTTTTATAATTCTGTGTTTGATTATTTAGGACGCCAGTTCCATCGTGTCGATAGTATGCGGGACAAATAAAATCGCCTGGGCACATGTGGACCGTGGAATGACTGTACTGGATTGGCGACAGCTGGATTGTCCCAACTTCTTGAGAGGCACATACCTGGCTTCTGCTTATCTGAATGATGTGAGTATAGTTATCAAACTCTGCCATTTTAAATAAAGAGTTTTTGTAGAGAAACTGACAGACCTTTGTGGGATCATTTTGTTCTGAAAATTTGGATGAATCTAAATTCATTTTCAGCTTCCTTTTTGTTTTCTCTACTCTGCCAACAGGTCTCTTCAGCTGTGGCACTTCTCCCATTAGCGGACTTCTACATAATAGAGAAAAGCTCCATCTCAGTCCAGAATACAGCTCTGTTCCCCGTTATGGCCCATATGAGGACTGTGGAGGCCATGCTGTTCGCTCTGCTGGAGCCCAAAAACTCCCCAGAAGAGTCCAACATTCCTCCCAGGTGGGAAAGTTGATTTCATATGAATAAAAACTGTTGTCAACTTCGAAATGCACCAAAACAACCTATAAAAACACATAACATGTAATACCATGTATCGTTGTCACAGTCATGATATTTCAATGTCTTTTCTTTGTAAGCCTGTATTTTTACTTGACTTCTAACAGCCTCCTTGCTGCAAATCCAACAAATTGCATGCTTAAAATTGTTGGGCTGTCTTTTCATATTTTGGTTAAAACCTAAATGTTCCCCCAGTTTTGCAACTAAATCCATGATGTGAATGTCAATAGATGGCATATTATAAGTTGATAAAAGCAGCTTGTGCCAGAAAGTCATAGCAGAAGAAGGGGGTTTAAACTGGAATACGACGTTGAAATAATAATTGAAATATAACATTTGTTGGTTCCACCTAGGGGTGCCCCTATAGCTCACCTGGTTGAGCTGGCATTCCCCTGCACCGATGTGGAGGTCGTGAGCTCAAATCTGGCTCACGGCTCAAGACGTTTAGGGCTGCAAGGTGGCGCAGTTGGTTAGCACTGTTGCCTCACAGAGGTGTATAGATAATGGATGGATGGATGGTTTCACCCAGCTGATCCAGACAAGTGGAAACAATTCTTACAGTTATGCAAACTGACTGTGCGTCGCTCAGATTACTGCAAGCAGGAAATTGTGTGAAAATAGCGACAGGCGTGTCTAAATGTGCTTGATTTGAAAGTGTTAGACGCTAACATACACATGATGACAAAAATGTCCTCCTTGATTCCTTCCTTCCTCTGCAGAGTTCTTAACATGATGCGGACTGCTGTTGGACGTCACTTTGGACTGATGGTGGGCGAGGCTCGGACCAGCGGAGCGCAGACAGTGCGACAGTTGATGACTGAATCCGTGACACAGAAGCTTCCCAGGATAAATTTTCCCCAAGAGCTGCTGGTTAAACATAGGAATTCCTTCCAGATGGGCAGCAGAAGAGGAGGAGAGGAACTCTGCGACGCGCTACTTCAGGCTGTAGCTTTCTATGAGCTGCTCAGTGAATCTTCCTCTTAGCTGCGACCTGTTCTGATCACACTGCATCCGCTAAAATAAATCTCCTAAGTGGCATTCTGAGCCCTTTTGAACTTTACCAAACGGATCTGATGGGGATTAAAAATGTGTTTAAAAAACTGAATATTCTTACTGTTACTTTAATGTTGTTTTTCAGGATCCTGACCATGAGGGCTGCTTCTGTGTTGTGTTATTTTTGCAGTTGACCTTGACAGTTAACTTCCATTTTTCTGCTGTCTGAGAATTTTCACTGTTTGTGTAAAATCTGTTTTCTGGATTACGTTAGAAGAATGAAACATTTTACACAGATCTCAACAGCAACCTGTGTCAGTACCTCAAAAAAGTATTTAACATTGTTTAAAACTGCTCCACAAAAATAGACTTTTATTCACTCTTTATGGTTGCACTTACATGTAAATAAAACATAATTTCTCATCTCAACAGCATTCAATTCATTTGACAATATTCTATTGAAATAAATACTGGCAGGAGTAAAGTGAGTTAGGGAAAATGCCAGGTATGTCCAGACCTTTTCATCAATTGAAATCTTCTGCCAGGAGTTGCATCGCTGACTTTGAGAGGCCCAGATGTGTGTTACTGAGGTAGTTCAGACACCTGATGTGGGAGATAAATCATTAATTATGCCTACAAATAATGACTATCATACTCATATTAGCAGTGACATTAAGTAGTTAAATTTGGAGCTAATTATTTAATCCAGCAATGACTCAAATGAGAGACAACAGATGACACTAGACAAGCTTGGATCTGAGGGGAAAAAAAAGAGTGAGGAAGCAGTCTGTTTTAAGAGACGACTATTTTGATCGGCCTGTCGCTCTCCTACTGACCACCCTGATCCTACAATATTATTTAAAATCTAACTTGATTTCTGTCATTCACAAAAACCTGTCGATTCTAAATGTAAACCTGCATTGTGTCTACCCCACCTTGCTGTCTCTCCTTGTTGCTGCTGGACTCTGTGAGAGCGACAGATGGAGCGGAGCACCGGCATGTAGTCCACACTTACAGCCTGTCTGTTGCCCAGCAGGCTGAAGGATTTAGAGCTGAGCACCATCCTGCTCAGTCTGTATCTCCTCTGGGACACACTGGAGGGACAGACACAAGTATAACATAGTGTAAAAACAGAAATTTTTGCACTCTGCTTTACAATGATGTATAAAGTTTGACAGGCATCGACTGTCTCCAGGAAAGTGTTCCGTTTTTTGCATCGATGTAAACTACTTTACCATATTTTATTTAAACACAGCATCCACATTCATTCATGTATCGCCTCCCTCTTGGAAATCTTTAACAGGGAAAATGTAGTTTTCAAATCATGCCTCATTTCTTCAACATCTCTCACTCTTGTTCCCCTGAATGTTCTTTTTTGTTTGAAATGGACAAATTTCCAATTTTGGGTGAGATCTACCTTTTATGTGGTTTGAACAACTGGATGTGTCAAATGAATGCATTCAATAATGAAGCATTTAAAACAAAGACATGAATATCACTGAAACTTAACAAAGGAACCTAATGAGTGGACAATTAAAACGTAAACCCATCATCCATTTTACAGACTGAATTGCAAGACGCCCAACAAATTGAATCAGTATTTTGAAGTTAGGTTGGAGAATAGACTCACCTTGGTGCACACAGTGGTGGAAAACTAAAGCTGAGGCTCTGTCTTTTAGAAGAAGTGGTTAAAGCCAGGCTCTCAACCAGCTTCCCCCAGTTTTTGTCCTCCAGTGTCTGCCTGTATTTTTGCGTTTTAGTCGACGCCTCGGACACTCTCCACAAGCACCTGCGACACCCCAAACCTTCAACAGCAGTCTGAATGTCCAGCAGCTTCTCCTGGCTCCAACTCAAGCACTCTTCCTTGCTCATCTCATCCAACAAACCGTCGTTTAACTCCGCTCCTGACCAGACAAACCCTTCAGGTGTGCATGAGCTCAGAATATGCTTACCTGCAGTCGGCACTGTGGCATCAAGGTACGACATGAGGTCAAAGAAGTCGGTCAGGGCTTCTAAACAGTCACTTGTTGCTTTTTGTACAGTTTTGTCCCTTGAACTTGGAGAGCTTGAAGTCCCATTTAATGACGATGTTTTCTGAGGTTTGTGGGAGGATGGATTGGAAGGTGATGTTGAGATGTACTTTCTTCTGCTAAGCCTTGAGATGTTCCTGACTGGTTTGCTGTTTGTCGCTGACACGTTTGGACTGATATTTTGATTCTGCTTCTGCAAGTGAAGATTAGTCTCAGAGGGTACCAGTACCGGCTCATTCTGCTGCTCAGAATAAGTCAACTTCTCCATGTTGTAGACTGAAGTTATCTTGGCCCCTACAGACAGAAGAAGCTCCAGGTTGGAATAGAGAAGAGGCACACCTCTTCTCCAGCTCTCAGAGAGGATGTTCAGGAGCTTGTTCATGTCTACTTCTGACCAGGCCTGACACTGAAGAAGCAAAAACAGACACTACTGACTGTAACTATAGACTGGTGAGGTGCATTTTTCTCTTGAGGGTTATGTAAATATATGAATACTTGCCTTTAGGAGGTTCAGCAGATAGTTTGGAGTTACAGGATGGAGGCCAAACATGTTGGCAGAGCAGTTTGTTTTGCAGGGAGGAAGCTGTGAGCCTGAACACTTTGCCCCTTCATTTGAGTCTAGATGAGGAAATAAAGAAAATAGTTGTAAATCTACAATTTTTAAAACAATTATTCATCACAGTTTATTCAAAGAAACTTACCCTCCACACAGATAGTTTTTTTAGGGAAGCTTCCACTATGAGACCCCCGTCTTCCACCACTGTTCACCCAGAGCTGCAGCTGTAACAGGCAGCGTCTGACATCACCACAGCTGAGTTTCAAGAGGCTGCAAACGTCATCCAAATCTAGTCGCACTTTCTCCGCCAAACACACCAGCTGCAGGTGACTGCAGACATTCACCTTTGAGGAGATGGAGTAAGTTTATGACACACTGAGTCAACTTTGCTCATATTTTATCTGCATGTTTGAGGAGTTTAAGAGCAGTTCTTGGCTAAACAAAACAGAAAAAAAGTGTGGCATATCTTCTACACACATGCACGCAGTTTCCCGTGAAGCTGCACGATGATGTTGAGGTAACTTTGACTTACTGCAGATGGGGTTTTGAAAATGATTTCCTCTAAGCTGCAGTCAAATCTCTCTTTGAATCTGGGATCTAAAAAAGACATTTGTTTTTGTATCAAGCTCATCTTGAAATATATCCTATTCAAAAATTACACTGTGTGCATTTACCATTGGTGGTCAGAATGACTGGTCTTTTAGTGGTCGTCATGAAAGTCTTGATGGCTGCAAGGAAACCAACATCATCGTCAAATATGACATCAACCTGTGGAGCAGACGGCAGACGGATAAACCCAGATCAAACTTGGTCGATGTGTGGCTTCGTATCCAGCAATTTTATTTTTCTCACAGTGTGGTGCTGCCACATGGTTTACCTCTTCAAAGAGAATGAGTGATGTGGCTGTCTTTTTGTTCTGTAGCACTATTTGATCACAGTCTGGTGATGAATCGCCCAATTTTTGGCTGTCTGGTTTTTCACATGGTGACATGCCACTAAAATGTAAGTGATCTGCTTTGGCCTTCATCTTAAAGTAGTGCGCCAAAGTCAGTGTGGCTGGTTTAGCTTTTACTTTGCGTCTAGAAGAGGCCAGATTTTTTTGGGTAGAGATGACATTTTTATGAAGAGTTGATTTTCCTGTCAAAAGAAAATAAGACAAATACAAATTAGTTCAAATGACACTTATGCACAATTAGTGTTTGCATTACATGAACCTGAGACCATAAAGGTTTTAGCTTATATACACACACAACGGTATGCAACTAACTAAGAGATCATACTGTATATGATTATTTGGACTACAATGAAAACTGAACCATCTATCATCTGTCCTACCAGGTACAGTCTCAGATTTAGCAGTGCAGCTGTTGGTGCTGTAGTTGTGGAAGTAAGCTGGTTTTAGTGGGTCTGTCCCGGACATCTCCACTAGGTGGGACTGGGAAGCCTCCTGCAGCTGGGACAGAACATGGCGGCCGCTGCGCTGTGAGGAGCAGTTCACCTCAAATACCTTTAATTAAAAAAGGAAAAGAAAAATGCCTCTTCTTGCAATGTCCAGATGTGACTCAATGTAAAAACAGTCCAGAACCAAGTGAAAGTCATAATTAAGTCTCTTGATAAGAGCCACAATAAGTCAATAAGTAATCCATTTGGACATTTTAAATTTGATCCTCTGTCCCTTCTGCCTAGGGTTGAACAATGAATCAACTGAATTCAAAATCAAGATTGGAACCATGCAATTCGCAAATTACAAAGGCTGCAATTTAGTCAGTGCTTTTATAAATTTATGCTGTCCTTGCTCCAATATATGTTTTGAATCCATTACAGATATATTTCCTAAAGCTTGACTTTTAAAAAATTATATTGCAAATTGCTTTATTGGAAAAATCGATTACATATACACCCTAAATTATTCAGCCTTACTAGTGCCATCTTCCACACAACGCCTTAAAAATTCTTGATTGCTTCTTAGGTCAAAGATCACATCCAAGTTACAGGGCTGAACATGAGAATTTTGGCAGTATACACTATTTTATATGACAGCTTGTGCAAATATAAGCAGATTGAGCATCTAAAAATTCAAATATCCAACTATAACACTCACATATTGAACAACTCTACAGTTAAAACTCCCAAATAGAAAAAACAAAAAAAAGAACTTTGTCCCGGTGTAGACCAAATAGCTTATATGCTGCATCATGTTTACACCGTTTGAGATTTGAAAGTGTCCCTAACATTTTTACCTTCATGTCACACATTAGGGTGTCAAAAAATAGGAAAATGTTAAAATATATTACAGTCAAGGATACCCACCACTGAGCATAAAGTAGAATCATCAGTTTTTTTTTTAGAAATGTCAGTACAAAGTGATACTGTAGAAGCTCTGAAAAGTAGAACTTTGGCAGAGCTGTGGTATTGGATTGCATTAGATTTCCCAGGTGTATCTACTAAAGTGGTCAGTGATTGTATGTTTCTGTACAGTTTTCATTGGTAAGCTCATATGACAATTCATCCTACATAGAATCAATGTTGGTGGAACTCATAAATATGTCACATTTCTGATATGGTCATGTGGGGTGACTGTGGCTCAGGTGGTAGAGCAGGTTGTCCTCTAATTGCAAGATTGGCGGTTCGATCCCCGGCCCCTCCACAGTCAGTGTTAGACACTGAACCCGAAGCTGCTCCCAATGGCAGGCAGCACCTTGCATGGCAGCTCTGTTGCCATTGGTGTATGAATGTGTGTGAATGGGTGAATGACAAACATATTGTAAAGCGCTATACAAGTGCAGACCATGATCCAAATACATTAACACTGAGGAAAACTTCAACCTTTGCCAGTATCTAAGATACTATATTTATTTGCAAATTCTCACCTTGAAGCCGAGCTCCTGAGCACAGGCATACACTGAGGCAGTCTTCCCCACACCTGAAGGTCCTGTGATCAGCATTGTGTTCCACAGTGGCTCCTGTGCTCCGTCCTCTGCCCCAGCCTCACCCTGGAAGTCTCCACAGTCCCACGAGTCTGCACAGGAGGAAAGGCATAACTTTTCTTACCAAAACTCCCACACATGGACATGTGACATGTGTCACTTAAATAAATAAAACTTTTGTCATGCTGATGTCTAAAAATTAGTAGGTTTGTGGCAGTTTGTTAGCCATGTTTCCTTAAAAATAAGAAACGTTTAACTTTGAGCAAGGGCTGCAGGGTGGTTAGCACTGTCGCCACACAGCTAGAAGATCCCCGGCTCACATCCTGGTTAGGACGCCTGGGATCTTTCTGCATGGAGTGTGCATGTTCTCCCTGTTCTCTCCGGGTTCTCCGGCTTTCCACCACAGTCCAAAAACATGTTGAGGTTAACTGGTGATTCTAAATTGTCCGTAGGTGTGAATGTGAATGTGCTTGGCTGTCTGTCTCTAAATGTAGCCCTGTGATAGACTGGTGACCTGTCCAGGGTGTCCCCTGCCTTCACCCAGAATCAGCTGGGATCGGTTCCAGCCCCCCGTGACCCTAATGAGGATTAAGCGGTGTATACATAATGGATAGATGGCTTTGAGCAATGAGACAACAGTGAAATTCCAGTTCATACCATTACTGTTTTCTACTTGTTTCCTTTCTTCCATTTTTCTCCTCTCATCACGGTCAGCTCTTAGCTTCCATTTCTTCAACCAACTGAACTCCAGAGGAAATAAGAGAAAAGGTTATGCTGCTCACAGTGATTTTAATATATCACAGAAGTATATTGTAGTAAAATATAAAATTCACCTGTGCAATCTTTTCACTGACGCAGAATTACCAACGACTTCGCTTGAATCCTGAGGACTGTACTTGTCTGTCCAAAGCACATCTTCAAAATAGGAATCTGCATAAAGCAAAGTAAAAAAATGAAAAAAATCCTGAAACTTAATGACCATTAAAGATGTGACAAGTATACAAAAACTGATCAGCATATGACAAGTTCTACCTCTCTGTAGAGTTTCAGAGTTTTTGAGTGATTGGGTGTCTGATTCTGCGTGATTTGTCCATTCAGAGTTCAGTTCACAGTTGTTCACCAGGTCTGCTGCGAGGCTCCCGCTTTGCAGCTTCAGTCTCTGAGTGCGACTCAGCCGGCTGCTCCTGGGTTGCTTCTTTTCAGCAGGGACACCACTTTCCTGGACATCCTGTGCTGACAGATGGCAGTGACTGAAACAAGCAGCATCCTCTGCAGTGAGATTAGACCTGAGACGCTTTGGTATCTTCTCAGAGGTTTCATTTTCACGTTTCCGCTTCTCTTTTAGGCATTTCTGCAAGGAGCTTGGATATGAGGAGCATCCTGCTTTGAAAACAGAGAAAATTAGAGCCCTGACCATACTTTCAATGTATTTAATGCACAGTCAGACTGATGACAGACTGTGGCTCAGTCTCACCTGTGGATCCACACTCATGCAGCCCCTCACTTGCTTTCTTCTGCAGAGTCCTGAACACTGCTTGAACTGGGAATACTGGATTACATGTTTGGATTTCTTCCAGACAGCTGTGCAGAGCTGATGGTGACAGCTGTCCTCTCCAGGTGGACAGAACAGACTCGTCTTCACATTTCAGTTGAGAGACTTGTACATCATCAATCTGAGGAAGAAGCACTGATTTCTGCGTCCTCTCCACAGCCTGATCCCCATCACTGATGTTTTTGCTCTTGCTCTGCTTTATCCTGCTCAAGAAAATTGGTGCAATTCTAGCATATTTTGCGCAAAAAATATTGCCCTCCTCTTGCAGTGACTGAACGTGTCTTTCAGAAAATCCTGTAACAACATGTGAAACATGTTTGTCTTTTGCAGCAGGAGTTGTTTCACCATCAGAGCAGCGCGACTCGGATAAAAGTATCACCCCGGTGGTTTGTGCTTTGCTTCGGCTCGTTGTAGACGTTCGGCTTTTGCTCCTCTTGAGTTTGTTTCGCATTGTAAAAGACCGCAAACTCAAAGACTGTTTAGTAATACTTTGGATTTGGCGCTTGGTTTGTACGTCACTCTGTGCGACGTCAATTTGATTTCGGCCACAGTGTTAATATTATTTTACGTTGAGATATCTAATCGTGTATTTTAGATGAATAAAGCAATTTAAGAAATAAACACCAATAAAATAATATTTTTAAAAAAAAATACATCCTAATATTTTGATGTCTGCTGTTACATTGATTAGCTGATCTGCAGTGACGTTTTAAACATGCGCCGAGTTTTGATGCAGCCACAGATCGTTTATAAAACAAATCACAGGATCCACCGTAGATGCAGGTTAGAAAGTGAACCGAATCAGTTCAGGACGGTTAAAATGTCACAATACACAAGCCAAAATGTTGTTTCAAAATATAAAAGCTGTAAATCAACTTTAAAGGTAATAGAAAACACATTTTCCTTAACATCTGTAACTCCAGCTTCTCTCAATGTTTTTCTTCATCCGAAATAAAATGAGGAGTAATACGTCGTCTTTTGTGAATCTTTCTTGGCCATGTGTCATCCATTATCTATACACCGCTTAATCCTCATTAGGGTCGCGGGGGGCTGGAGTCTATCCCAGCTGACTTAGGGCGACACCCTGGACAGGTCGCCAGTCTATCGCAGGGCCACACTGAGAGACAGACAACCAAGCACACTCACATTCACACCTACGGACAATTTAGAATCACCAATTAACCTCAACATGTTTTTGGACTGTGTGGGAGGAAGCCGGAGAACCCGGAGAGAACCCACGCTGCACGGGGAGAACATGCAAACTCCACGCAGAAAGATTCCGGTGCCCCCACCGGGACGCGAACCGGCAACCTTCTTGCTGCGAGGCACCAACTGCGCCACCCTGCAGCCCGGACCAGAAACCAGGGGCCTCATTTATCATCAGTGCATACATACAGATATGTGCGTAGAACGTGCGTACGAACATTCCTACGCAAAGTATGGAATTTATCAACTTGTACTTATACGTAGGACTGTGAGTAAATATACGCACACCTCTGACCATGCGCACGCACATAATCTAGCGGTAGAGCAGTGAAACTACAAATAGAAAGTATTTGGGGATTTTGACCACCGGCACATTCCAGCGTGAGGTTGGAGACATATGCATTTCCAGTCATCACTGAGCAGGATCAAGCCGGCAGTGTTGGATGCCATAACTCCCCTGGCCTCAGCCTACATCCAGTTCCTTTACAGTCATCACCAACGAGCCCAAATCAAACGGGGGTTTAACGTCGTCGCTGGATTCCCAAACATAAGTGAAGCCATCGACTGCACTCACATCGCATTCAAAACAGCATCACTACACAAGCTTAATTTTGTAGATAGAAAAGGGTTTCATTCAATCAGCGTACTGATAATTTGTGATGCGCATTTGTCGCTATCCAACGTTGTTGCCCGGCGGCTTGGAGGAACGCACGACTCATTGAGCAGAACAGCTCTGTGGGTCTCCAAGTAGGAGCTGCTGAAGATTGTTGTGAGTGTCACAGAGTGTGGAAATGTTTTAGCTGGACTTTATTTGGTTATTAAAACAAGTCATCTGTAGTGATCAGGGTTATCCACTGGGTGAACGTTCGGTATTAATTCGTCCTCCTCCAGTTGCAGCCATTTCTCTTTTATGGACTGTGATGCGTTTTTTTGCACTGAGCTTAACGTCAAACCACTTTTTAAAATTTTTGCCGGCGATCTCTCCTCTGACCCAACAGAAATAACTGCGGTGGTTATCTTGTCCCATGCAGTATTTTTTTCTTTCGCTGCTTATCCCAACATTTCACGCACCAAACAATATTTTCTGGTTTGCTTAAACCTCGCTGACAAGTACCTCGATCTCAGTTTCATAAAAGTTCTTCTTTTTCGCCCTTTTTGCCACTATGATGACGACAGGTGAGGAAAAAATAAATCTTCACTTGCTTTATAAAGAGGCGTGTTATTGCCCTATATGGTGATTTGGAGGCGTTCCTGAAGGCAACGTGCACGAGCACAGAGGTTAAGAACAAGTGGGATTTGTCAACACTGATGTGCGTACGACCCCCGTACGCACGTTTGATAAATACGGATTTTTTGTACTTAGGCACACTCTAAATTTCATTCCTACGACAGAATTTAGAACCTTTTCTACGCACTGATGATAAATGAGGCCCCTGGTCTAATGAGGTTTGGGATACGAAACAAAAAACAGGGAAATCTCCCTTTTTGGCATATAAAAGTAAGTTCCAGATAACATTATGTTTTACCTGAACTTCTAACATGGTTTCACATCACCAAAATTCTGAAAGAAAAGAAAATTGGCGACTATATGTTGAGTTTCTAGTTTTCCTTAACTGCTAAAGTTTATGGTATGAAT